CCATTCTTTATATACAGAAAGGGTAAAGGTTCTCGAATAACAAAATGTTATCTGTGCGTTTTTGTGTGTCTTAGATACAAGTGTCTGCACTTGGAAGCCGTTGAACTTTCTAAAGATGCGTTCATATTATCACTGCGTCGTTTTATCTCTCGCAGAGGTAAGCCTTTAGCTATATTTTGCGATAATGGTCGCAATTTTGTGGCAGCTTCTAAAGAAATTAGACAGTTTATTAGCGCCAACACTGATGACATTTCTGATTTTTCTTTATTAAATTTCATTTTCAACCAGCTTATGCTCCGCATTTCGGGGGTTTATTTGAAGCAGGCGTGAAGTCAGCCAAATATTTTTTAAAGAGGATTTTAGGTAACGCTCATCTCACATTTGAAGAAATGGCAACGTTGTTTAGTCAAATTGAGGCAATTCTTAACAGTAGACCCCTATGTCCCTTGTCGTCCTGTCCCGATGACCTTCAATCCTTAACCCCAGGGCACTTCCTTATTGGAAGACCACTTTTGTCGTTACCGACACCTAATTTGCAGGATAAAAAGATAAACCGTTTAAACAGTTTTCAACGGTTGGAGCTTTTACGGCAGCAATTTGGAAACGCTGGCAGTTGAATACGTGTCCGAATTGCATCAAAGGCAGAAATGGCGGATCCCAGATAGACAGCTTCAAATAAATGATTTGGTGCTGTTAAAGGAAGATAACTCCCCTCCCATGTGCTGGAGAATGGGTCGCATCTGCTCTCTGTTTCCAGGTCAAGATGGAGTGGTGCGCGTTGTTGAGATTAAAACTGCAGCAGGCAATTTCCGACGTGCTGTAAAGTATATCTGTCCATTGATGGAGCCATCAGAGGGACTTGTGCTTGCGGAGGATGTCGGCGAGCGATCGGCTCGCGGTCGGCCCAATCCAGTTGAGGTTAGGTTGGCTCGGTACCCTTTTCGACGTCCACTACATAGGACGTGCGCATAAAATTTATTTGTAAACCTTTATAATATAATCATTTAAAATTGGAGTCAGATTATTTATTCATATCCACCTCGGAACAACGAGTATATATATATATATATATAACGGTCGGGGGCCTGGTGATCTGTAGTTAAGTTTTAAGTTGTTTGTGAGGAGACATAAATAATTATATTATTATTATATATTTATTAATAATAATTAAAAATTTAAAAACAATTTTTTTACACAAGTTAACAACAAAATGAATTATGTAAACTCGTTTATGAGCTTATTGAAATTTAACAGAGTTTTAAAAAGAATAAAGGTATTAAAGGATTTTTGTGTACATTGAACGGGATTAATTAAGCGAATTATGATGCAAGTACTGAGGAGGCTTCAATCGAGTGGATATGAGTATACCGATTAAATCAGATACTAACTTTAAAATGGAAATACTCTAGAAAAAGTAAGCTGTGCGAAGGATTCAAATAAATTCTCTCTCCGTAAGAGAAAAATATTTTAGAATTCTATTCCCAGGGCATTGACTTTTGCGAACTTTGTAATAAAGCCTTCTATTATAATTCGAATTAAAAGTTTTCGGTTATACTACTCGCCAGATGAAACAAAGTCGACTGAATAATAATTTCGCTTGACTTGTAATATATTTGAGAGGGGAAATACTCGAGGATTGATTGCCGGTACTTTAAGAGCGTTAATAGCTTTTGCTTACTGGAGTGTAACAACGTTGCAGATATCTGTCAATATGATTGAAAATAAGAATATAGTTACATAGTTAACATTTTAGTTCGCTATGCTGCTTATGTATGCTTTTGAAAAGTGAAAGATGATCAAAATTATAATTATAACAACAGGCGTTTACTGTCCACTGCTGTATATGGGTCTCCCCCATAACGGGGAACGCCCTCCCTCCTTACCAGTTACCAATAATTACTCAATAAAGGCGGGTTAGTAACTGTAATTAGGTTTTGGTGATTTTTTAAGTGGGGCGTTGCTGCTTCTATTTCTTTTATTAAGACCCCTATTTTATTTTTTTCTTAATTTTTTTTTTGTATATTAATTTAAAATATTATTAATTTTTACTACAGGGAGACTTTGTACAAAAGTCGATTGCTTGGGTACCTCTGTCCCATTCGTGTTTCAACCGTGAAGCAGTTGTGTTTGCATGGCTGTGTTTCGGTTTGAAGGGTGGGATATGGCGTGAATTTACTGGGTACAGAGGAATAACACCTGAGTTCTCAGGAAGGGCAACGCATGGGGGGTATCATGGGCGAAACAGTTTATTATGTCCATGGTAGTGCTCATATCTATAGGCGACGGTTACCACTTTCCATCAGGTGGGCCGTCAGTTTGTTTGCCATTCTAAGTTGTATAAAAAAAAAAAAAAAAAACAAAAAATACAATGTCTCCCTCGTTCAAATATTGTTACAATTATTTTATATTAGTATGATTAAGAAACTCTTTCGTTCGTTTCATAAAACACCTGACACCCTTGACAAGAGAAGCCAATCGCTCTGGGAATCCGTTTGCCGTGAGCTAGTTTTCCACTTTCTATGTAATAATTGATACGCAAGTGTTAAATGACACGGTCCGATGAGAGAAAGTTCGATGAATGCGACGATTATAGATTGAAATAATTAATATGTGCTGTAGATCAATTAACGTATTGTGATATTGTAAAAACAATGTGATCCTTACTGTGTGAATAGAAAATTTAATATTGCATATTCCAAACTATTAGTGACGTACTGGCAACTTTTATAGCCATATATTTTTTTATGTTTGTATTTGTTTTTTTTTATTATTGGAAATTTTGTAACGATTTCAACCATATATTTTTCTATGTTTGTATTTGTTTTTTTTTTTTATTATTAGAAATTTTGTAACGATAAAAATATTTTGAATAGCAACAGTAGCGATACCGTATCTCTATGTACCGTAGTTTAGCATACTTGTTTTAGAATGAAATATTTTCTAAAACTTTGTGTTAAGCCTATGATCTATTTGTGTTTCAAATTACATTCAAATAAAGTCTGTTGTTTAGGCACAGAAAATAACTTTACAAACTTTCATATTTAAAAATATATAATTTTTTTTATACAACTTAGAATGGCAAACAAGCTGACAGCCCACCTGATGAAAAGTGGTAACCGTCGCCTATAGACATGGGCAGTACCACTGTCTGTCTGTCTGTCTACTGTTTTGCCCATGATACCCCCATGCGTTGCCATTCCTGAGGACTCAGGTCTTATTCCTCTGTACCCTGTAAATTCACGCCATATTCCACCCTTCAAACCGAAACACAGCCATGCAAACACAATTGCTTCACAATAGAAACACGAAATGGACAGAGGTACCCAAGCAATCGACTTTTGTACAAAGTCTCCCTCTGGAAAGTTTTGGATGTAAAGTACTTTGAAATAAAAAAATAAAAGAAAATATTAGTTACATAATTTAGGCAAAGACCTTTTGCCTTCTTATTTTGAGAAGATCAAATAAAAAATATGTATCGATATATCGGTTTATTAATATAAGGTCTGTTTTTCTATTATAGATAATCTAAATAATTTCTCTTATTCCAATGAATAAATAATATCTTAGCGTAATCATTACCTTATTTAGTTTAGAAGTTAGTTTCTAGGAGTTCTCTCATATACTAATTTTTTCATTGGCAATAATAAATTCACAGTTTTATTAATTTATATTCTGTGTAATCCGTGTTACATAGCTATATGTAATTGTTAGAAAAAGTAATTATTCGTCAACAAATGTAATAAAATTTAATTTGGTTGCTTATTAAACAATACATATACGAATGGGTGGCGAAAGCAATATATTGTATACTACAAGTATTATACATTTCTAAGTCTTACATCTTATGTATTATTTTTCTTTCATTTATTTTTGAGAATGGATAGGATAGTGAAATGTGATAGGTGAGGATGAATGCAGGTAAGTTGGCACATAGTGATGAATTCAACAAAAAAAGAACTGCGCGGAAATTGACCTGATAGGATGTATCATGGGCGAAACAGATACTCTGTTATGTCCATGGTACTGCTCATGTCATAGGCGACGGTTATCACTTTCCATCAGGTGGGCCGTCAGCTTGTTTGCCATTCTAAGTTGTATGAAATAAAATGTATTGCTAGTAATTGAGGTATGAGACCTATTACTAACAATCCTTATTTATTTATTTTAATGCACAGTGAAATTCCATGTATATTTGAAATTACAGCATAATATAGTTACTAATACTTCTAAAAACCTAAGTGGTTGCCAACCTACTTGCCAAGCTTGGCAACTACTGGCAAAACTTCCATTATTAAGAAAGTTTAGGTCCAAAAGTGGACAGTTATTGGCTGAAATGATCTTTTTCTTATTAAATTGAAATATTTTAAATAAAATTGTAGCTAAGTAAAGAAAATTGTAATTGGCATAGACTTTTACAACCTATTAATTTAAAACAAATGGTTTTGTTTAAATACGAGTAACATTCTATATTCTATTCTGAACTGTAACGACGTTTAGGTACCTAATTAGTTTGAATTTTAGCGTTTCTTTCATTATCTATTTTCAAATACAGAATGACATTGAAAACATGATACATTTGAGAGAGTGTTCTATTAGTAAAATTAAACATTTAACTTAATATAACAAGGACTTAAAATGGCAAGTTTAATCTTTCCATTCTAAGACAGGACTACCAGCTGTCAAGTTGGTGGCTCAAAACTTTTTGTTGTAAGTCAAACACCGCCTCAAAGGAATACTAATGGTTATATTGTTCTTTTAAAAGAAGAATATAAAAAAGAAGGCCCACGTGATTTTAAATTTTACATTATAACATTGTTTACTACACTACAGCTGTTACACAGTTCTGACCATCTCTTATTTGCACGTCTGGCATTTTAATTCTCCTGAGTTTTATTACTTTTTTCTATTTACGATGTAACAAAAAAAAAAATAAACACTTATTTCTATCACTTATTGAGAATATTAACGCTAGAGAAAAAAAAAATATCAAAAAAACGTACCTCATTATCAATTTCACTCGACCTTGCGATCCCAATCAGCAAAATCGATAACAATACGGTTTTCATTTTTAAAATCGATTTATTTAATGTCTCTCACTTCACTAGCACTTAGTGCTTACACTTTTTACTTTTTTTTTACAATCTGCGACTACACAGTTTATCGTGTTATAAAGTGTGGTATAGCAAATGCAGAAAATACAATGTTCATACAGCTTTATACGTTAATGCTTGGATGCACACGCAGTGGGGTTTAGAATCTCTAATAAGAAATGTTATTATGTATGTTCCTATTAATTACTGTTAATTTTCAAATGTGAGGAAAATAATTCTTGGACAGTCACCCCAGTTTTTAATCTTTTACATAAAAATACAAGAGAAAAACATATTAGGATTCGATCATTTCATATTTGTCTTGATTTTTGTTTTTTCACTCTGTGTTCATAGTAACAATATTATGTCAATCAATTATACAGTTCATAAAAAAATTACCATAATCTTTGGTAGTTTAGCTGTTAAACTTTTGTAAGACCTTGGTATAACACTATCATGTACTTTTTGGGGCAAATTTATAGTTCAATAGATTGATATATGTTTAATTGACTGTTTTTGGTAGTTTAACAGTTAACCTTTTATAAGACTTTAGTATAGCACTATTATTTATTTTCAGGGTCAATTTTTATAGTTTAATAGATTGATACAAGTTTAATTAACTGTCTTTGGAAGTTCAGTGGTTAAAATTTTATAAGACTTTGGTATTTTATTTTATTTTGTCTTTATTTGGTCTCCCAGCAATTGTTACACTGATAAGATTTAATATTAAGATTACTGTCTATTTATACATAGTGTGTAATCATTTTAAGGGAAACAAAGCATACTAATTAACAAATAAGCAATAATATTACTTACTCTTGAGATATTTAACATAGGTATAGTTTTTAAATTCAATAAGACTTTGATATAACACTATTATTTACTTTATGGGTCAACTTTTACAGTTCAATAGATTGATACTTGTTTAATTGATTGTTTAATCAAGAATAACAAATATTTTACATGACATCCAAAGGTTTTTGCGTTATAGAATAGAATAGAATAGAAACATTATTCTATTAACGAGATTCCCTTGCCAATTTTTAACCAATTTTGATTAATTTATTTACAGTTGATTGTGTTTTCTTCTGTAATGGTCCTGTATTGTTTTATTTCACCCAAAGTCCCATTTATTAAGAGAAGAAAAAATAGAATTAATAACTTACATTTATTTATTACAGAAACCCTATTTTAATGGTGTTCTAATTTTGATACATGTTGATTTTATTACAATTTACAATTAATTATAAAGTATTTACTCTAAAGTTTCCATTTTGGGTTCCGGAAGGAGTTATTGATTTGGATTTTGATTCATTTGGAGTATGGTGTAAGGTGTTTGTATATGAATATGGTCATGTATAAATAGATAGTACAGTTGTCACCCTTCCAAAATGCGGTTTACAACTATCGCTTGATATTATCTATTATTAATTACTAGCAACCTGCCCCGGCTTCGCACGGGTGCACATTACATCACATCACATTAGAAACCTCTAAAATTATCAATGTTTCTCTACAATATTATGCATGTATTATACATACAAACCTTCCTCTTGAATCACTCTATCTATTAAAGAAAACCGCTTCAAAATCCGCTACGTAGTTTTAAAGATTTAAGCATACATAGAGACGGACCGACAGCGACAGCGACTTTGTTTTATACTATGTAGTGACTAGTAAAGGTATTAGATCAACATGTGGCACTGGAGCTTTTTCAAAACAATGTACATGCCCATAAGTGGAACTTACAAGTATATCATGGCTTATTTCATATAAGACTATAGGTTCGTCACGCTTTATTCCAATTGGGGTGGACAGAAATAAAAACAATAGAACGCCAAATGGTCCTATTGAAACAGACTTTCTTCATATTAATCATTTATTAGAAGTCAAGTCACAAGTCGTCTGTTTGGGTACCTGTACCGTATTCCTATCGTGAAGTATATGTGTTTGAATAGCTGTGTTTCGATTTAAAGGGTGGGATATGGCAATGAAATTATAGGGTGCAGAGTCATAATACCTTATATATATATATATATATATTATTATATTCCTCAGGAATGGAAACGGTTAAGGAGTAATAGTACATGGGAATAATAATAATGGGTAACAGTACACACTGTTATTTTCATGGTACTGTTCATGTTAATAGGTGATTGTTACTATTTTCCATCAGGTGGGCCGTCAGCTTATTTGTTATTTTAAGTTGCATAAAAAATCTAAAATTCCTACAATCACGTCGGTCACGAGTACCTTTAATTTGACCCTTTTTTAGCTCTACATATATCCATACTTCTTATATTCACTATCCCTTTCTTTCCCGTGGGTGTTATAAGAGGCGACTAAAAGAATTTAACGATGAAGAAATGGGCTGCAGCGCCCATCACCAAAGCTTAACTACGCCTACCTAGCGTGGCAACTATTAGCAAAACCCCTTTATGGGAGAGGTCTATATTCAGCAGTGGAGAATTAACGGCTGATACGGTATAGTATGCTATAGTATATTTACTATGTACTTTATTCATATTTCTTTGTTATTATTATTTTTATTAAGGAATTTCACGACTGACTCTTGGCCACAACAGGATATCAGTGTTTTGCTCTTTTGAGGGCAAAGCAATAAACTGTACTGATATCTGTATTATGTATATGTATGTATTGTTATTTGTGTGCTGTAAGTAATGCAAATAAATTATCTATCTATCTATTTATTATTCTCTTAATATCAACATATGTTTATGTATACAAACAGCTTTATTCAAATCATGTGTCACACTCACACGTATACGTGTTTATAGTAATACACCAGACAAAACATTGCTAGTTTACCCTTTGATCCTACCTGAGTAGTTTTGGTATCTCAAAGGAAATACAATTTCCTCAGTAACTTACTAGTTACTCGTAATATATTTGGCCGTGCAGTCAGATCAAAGGGAAGTGGCTGAAGCCAATAACAAAAGTATAGGTCTACCTCAGGGAAAAGGGCCATTCTAGAGGCATATTATTACATTGGGTGCACAAAGAATTATGTGGCGATTTAGAGGTTTAGGAAGTTTTTTTTTTTTTAATATAAGCATCAAACGAGTAACTGATAGTACTAACAGATAGTAAATAATCACCTCGGCCCATAGGAATCCACAACATGAGGGAAATTACACGTGTGTTGCCGGCCTTTCAAGAAAAAATATACTCTTTTATTAAAGATTTCAATACTATAATTATTTCAATTATTTATTCGGAAATTCTACTGCTAGGAGTTGATTTTATAGTTTCCTTGTGCGTGATAGAAAGTGTCTACAGAAACGGACGGTTGAGAACTGCCACTCTTCCTGACGATCGGAATGGTACTTTAGCTTGTGGCGAGTTGTATTGTGATGAGATTTGACAGCTAGTATTAATTTGAATAATTCCTTTGAACACTCCTCGTGATATATGCGATAAAAGATGCAAAGAGATGCAACATCTATATGCATTAAGTTAGTTACAGTGAAAAATAGGAAAACATAAATGAAATAAATAAAATACCTAAAAAAATTAAGTATTATAACGAGAATATTCAAACATTTTGTTTGATATTTTTAAATTATTATTAAATTAACATTTAAAATTAAAATTCGAACAGAGAACATGTTGCCGTGAATATGCGTGTATTGACATTATGCAGAGAACATGTTTTAATAGCGTGACTGAGCAGATCGTTTTCTATTACTAAATTTGAATTTTCACACAAACAATTGATATTATCAATACAATTTAGAATGTAAGAAATCTGAAAGGATAAAAATTTATATTTATTTATTTAACTCTTTATTGTACCAGAAACATAAAAATAAACACTGACATATAAACAATTCAAGTGAAATACATTGGTATTAAGTATAAATTAAAATGTATATAGTACATAAAGGTACAAAAGGTGGTTTTATCGCTAGGGCAATCTCTTACAGACAACCTTTGATTAAAGGAAAACATATATAAGTTAATTAATGTAATATATACTTATATATGCTTTTTATTTTTATGGAAAAACAACAAACTCAGTCTAAATTATAAAGATTGTTAATATAATAAAAGGATGTTTTTTTTTTTATTCTTGTGTGCACTATAGAATACTTCGTTTCTTCTTTTATACTACTGTAAGCGTTGATATAAAAAAAAATTAAAATGTAGGAGTACAGTTAGGGAGTAAAATTCAACACTAAAAATAGAGCTTATTCAATAAAATTATGTTTAATCAGCCTGTGACGTTTGTTTTTAAATGTCGACATATTGTTTCTAATTATGAATAAATTTAAAAGTTATTTAACTTGAAATTTATTAAATTAAAAAAAAATGATAATAGTTAATCCAATTACAAATATGATATATGTAATTATATGATATAAAATATTTAGTGATAAGAATTATGTAATTTCATATTTTTAATAAAAATCTACTCGTGTTTTAACAATATTATTCTTTTATCTTTACTCAGAATAGTTTTAAATTATAACTTTAAGAAAAATGTAAATCTTAGACTTCCTTTTGTTTTGATGATTGTTAATAAATATAATATTAAAATTTATATATGTACTCGTATAATGAACTTACTATCACCATCCGAAAGTCTTCTTCAGGGGGCGTACGGCACTTTATGTATATATATATATATATATATATATATATATATATATATATATATATATATATATATATATATATGTATATGTATGTATGTATGTTGTGTAACCATTAATGTTGGTGTTGTTGATGTACCATTAATATTGACCTCACCGTCCCACCATAATATCAATGCATTACTTTTGCAGTTTAAATTAAATTTTCGCAAAACTTGACGCGAATATATAAATTTTTATGAAGGTTATTCACAAAAGAAGTTCATAACCTAACCACCTAACAATAACGCAATCACGAGGCGGAAATGTAGGCACAAACAAACTTACCACTTACAACCAAATTGTGAACGTATTGAAAAAGATACCATAGAATTTCATAAAACGAGAATCCTTACAGAGTAATATTATTGGAACTACGAAATTTCACTGCGTAATTTCACCGCACAATTCTATTATAACAAACAA